TGGATAAGCATGCTGTTGTAAAGCCTTATTTAGTGTAGATTTGTAATCTGCACAAATACGTATCTCCCCATTAGCCTTTAGAGGCATTACTATGGGGTTTTCCCATGGAGTTGAATTTACAGGTTCTAAAATACCTTGCTGTAGCAGTTTGTCCAGTTCAGCATCAATCCTGGCCTTGAGGGCAAAAGGTACCCTCCTTGGCTTAACCCTGATGGGGGTGATTGTTGGGTCTAACCTTAACGAGACTGGAGGCCCTTTGAAGGATCCAAGCTCTGAACTAAACACATCTGCAAACTCCTTGCAGACTTCTGCCAGGCTTGACGTTTGCAAATTGTGCAGCCCAGTGATTTGGATGCCCAGGGCCTCGAACCAATTGAGTCCAATAAGGCTCATGCGTTCCCCCCCTCACTACCAACACGTCTAAGGGACCTTCAAAATCCTTATGCTGCACCTTAAGGGTGGCCTCCCCCTTAACACACACTTTAGAATTCTGAAAGTTTGTGAGAATTATGTTGGCTGATCTTAGTTTGGCTCGAACGCCACTATTGTTGCAAATCTTTCTAAATGTATTGTTAGAAATAATAGAGAGAGCGGACCCTGTGTCCAACTCCATAGCTATAGGAACCCCTTGCAACTTTACTTTTAAAGTCATTTTTTTCTTTAAGGGTTTATGTGTTTCTGTCCTCAAAATACTCCCTTGTGATGCGCAGAAACCCACCCTGTTTTGGCTGGGGACCCTGGTACCTTTCAGACGCAATTCTGCCTGAGGTTGTACCTTCTGTTGACTCAAACATACGGCTGCAATGTGGTCTCGCTTTCCACACCCTCTACATATGGTGGACCGGAACCTGCACTCAGCTCTCTTGTGGCTTCCACCGCATCTGAAGCATTTGGTGGCTGTAGTGACCTTGTCCTGATGCCCCTTCTGCTTCTTCCCTGATGGCACGTAAAGTCTATTCACCTCGTCTTCAGGATCTGTATCTGACTCATCTTTGATGTCTTCCTGATGGACAGTTGCCGTCTCAGGAACGCTCCTGGTAGGCCGCAGAGACCTTACAGCTCCTCCAGCTGCTTCTTCAGCCATCACCTCTCTTAGTGCATCTTGGAAGGAGACATCTTCTCTGGCAAAAAGTTTCTGCTGCAAATCTCTGTTTCTTAAACCGCAAACAAAGCGATCTCGCAGCCTCTCTTCCAGATCCTTGAACTCACAAGGCTTGGCTGCTCTCCTTAAAATTGCAATAAATTCTTTAGCAGATTCACCTGCCCTCTGGTCTCTATGCTCAAATGTGTGCCTCCATGCCATCACAGACAATTTGGGCTGAAAATGTTCCTTTAACAATTTCTTCAAGTTAATGAACATAACTGACTCTAGAGGTGCAGGGGCCACTAGGTTCTCAGCTATTTCAAATGCCTCCTGACCACAGACACACAACAGTGTTGCAGCCTTTAATCCATCTTCCCTTATTTGGTTTATTCTAAAATAATTTTCTACTCTGGCAACATAGGAGTCCCATTTTTCTGGATGGGCAATGTCAAACTCAGAAATATGCCCAATCTTCGCCATTTTCTCTCTACTCTTTCTAATGTGGAGGGGGGAAGGTTATTCAGCCGAGCTCACCCTCCAGCGACGCTGTACTGGTAGGCCTGAGAGGCTGGTCCCAACGCCGACTTCCCCCTTCTTCAGGACTTCTTGTGGGTGATTAAAGCTTGTTTGTTTGAAGCTCTTCTAATCCCATCCTCGTCGCCAGTGTTAAGTCCCTTGAAGAATCTGAGGCCTGGAGACTCATCATGAACAATTCAGGTCTTTATTCACTTTGTTCCAACAACCAACCGACACAAAGAGGCCCGCAGGCCTCTTAAGTATGCCCGGATCCCTGGGCAAAACTGATACAGCTGATTGGCGTGTTTTCGTGCTGTCTGGTCCCGGGCAGCTTGCAGCAACCCCGGGACCATAGCAATGTCCCGAGCCTGCTTCTGCAGGCTCAGGACACAACACCTCCCTTCCACATCTGTCATGGCAACAAGCTGGAAATTAAAATGCAGTCCCATTACGGCAGTGTCCACTGGTATTCATTTCTTAGGTCTTTATTCATGTGGCCCTTTCTTTTGGCTCAGTTGCAGCTGGAGTGCATAATTTATCTGACTGGATTCTACCATCAAATACGCTTTTTCTCCAGAGTCTCTGCATTTGTTACAAAATTAATGACTACTATGCAGCTTCTTATAATTGATATTTAAATGAAATAACAGAATAACAGAGTTGGAAGAGACCTTGGTATGTCTCCTAGTCCAACCCCCTGCTCAAGCAGGAGATCCTATACCATTCCAGACAAATGGCTGTCCAGTCTCTCCTTAAAAACTTCCAGCACTGGAGCATTCACAGCTTCTGGAGGCAGGTTGTTCCACTACCATTAATTGTTCTCACTGTCAGGAAATTTTTCCTTAGTTCTAGGTTGCTTCTCTCCTTGATTAGTTTCCATCCATTGTTTCTTGTCTTGCCTTCTGGTGCTTTGGAAAATAAGTTGACCCCCCTCTTCTTTGTGGCGGTCCCTCAAATATTGGAACACTGCTATCATGTCTCCTCTAGTTCTTCTTTTCTCTCGACTAGCCATACCTAGACATGATCCCTGCAACTATATGTTTTAGCCTCCAGCCCCCTAATCATCTTTGTTGCGCTTTTCTGCACGCTTTCTAGTGTCTCAACATCTTTTTTATATTATGGTGACCAAAACTAGGATGCAGTATGTGGTCTTACTAAGGCTTTATAAATATTGCTTGGTGTTATACATTTCAGAATATGTTTGCAAATTTCCCTGTTGCAAATTGCAAATAATCATCTTGTAGATAAGACACCGAAGAACTATGGATAACAACCTATTTTCAGGTCTATGGTCTACAGCGTCTATTAGCTCCAACCAGCAGCCCAGCAAGGAAGTTTGTTGATCTAAACTGATGAGGAAAACTGAAATCCTCAAATGGACTTTTATTTCATGACTGGCTAGGGCAGTGCTGAAAAAAGTGATTTATGAGCAGTCCTTACACTTACAGCCATAGCAACATTCCTACGATCACATGATCACAATTTGTGATCTTCTCAGTTGGCTTCTGACAAGCAAAGTCAACCGGGGAAGCCATATTCACTTTAAAATATGGCAAAAAAAGAATAAAATCAGACATGGTCACATGACTCACGTAATGATCACTTAGCAGCAAAAATTCCAGTCCCAACTGTGGTGGTAAGTTGAGGTATGGTATTTGCATAGTATTTGTCAATAACTACATTCTTCTTTCAGCTTCTCTTCAGGTTTTGATAGATGACCCAGTATCTCTAAAGGGAGATGCAATTCCATGGGAAAAGGTCAAGAATGATTCCTTTAAAAATGCCAAACTATTATATCATATGAGATTTGCATGTGTGAAATCCACTGCTGAAGCATTTTGTTTCCCATGAAAATTTCCTCCATTATCAACAACGTTAAAGATCGGAATAGCACTCCTGAGGCTTGGGGAAAGGTTATCTTGCCAAGTAAGTGCATTTGCTGCCCCATTAAGGGCAACCAGATTTTATATTTACTGTGTAAAGATAAAGTAAATCAGGGCTAGCCCAATGCACGGAGGAGGAAGGAATGAGTATATTAGGGAGATGAACTGGATAATATAGAGGTTATGGAAAATTAGAGCTCTTTAATAAATAATACCTGAAACACTTGGACAGATCTCTCCGTTCAGCTCAGTTTACCAATAGAAGAGAATATTTGTAGCTCAGGGATCAACTGTGGTGTCCCAGTCCTTTCTCAGCTTGGTTGCTTCCTTACAGGCATTTCATTACCAAACTAGGTAACATCATCAATGCTAGCAGTAAAGACGACATTTAAAGATGATATTAGCTCGTTTGGTAATGTAATGTCTGCAAGACACACAATCAAGTTCAGAGAGCGCCAAGGACTCTACAGCTCAGTTGTGTTTCGTTGTGTTCTGTATTTTTGCCATCCTGGATTTCATTTTGTCTCAATATTTACATTACCACATAAATTCTCTTTAAAGGCCTTATATGTAAGGCTAAGCGGAACCTTTCCCCCCCTAAGAACTTGTGATGATGGGATGGGCAGTGATGCATGTGCAGGAAAGGGAAGCAGGAAGAGGGTGGATATTGGTGCTGTGGATACGTCCAGAATACAGCCCAATCAGCTGGGACCGGTAACAAGGTCCAGGAGCCGGATGCAAGCGCTGATTAATCCTATATAGGTTTCTCACATTGACTAGCGTTGAACCCTGACGATGTTGGTAGTTTCTGACGAAAGCTCGGTATTTATTAATTTTTTTCTAGTATTGAAGTCTTCCTGGTGCTCGTGTTTTGCAACATCGTCAGGGCTAAAAGCCAGTTAACAACGATGACTCAAATAGGTTTGGCTGACATTTGCACCCGGCTCCTGGACCGCGTCACTGGCCCTGGCCAGTCAATTTGTGTTCCAGATGTTTCTTCGCACCCCCTTTGACTGTAGATCAGAGAGGGAAAACATCGATCCACAGTCAAAGGGGGTGCAAAGAAACAACTGGAACCCCAGTGAGATTGATGGCAGTGTTAGAAGAGAACCAGATACCCCCGAAGTAGATAGTAGAAAGAAGAATGAGGTGGGATTTAATACCATTAGAAGGAAGGAGGATGAAGGGGTGTTAACAAATTTGAGTGTTAGCAATGAAATAGTAGGAGGAGTGATCTGGAAGAATGACAGAAGGAAACGCAATGGGAGTAACAAAGAAACATCTGGAACACAAATTGACCGGCCAGGGCCAGTGACACGGTCCAGGAGCCAGGTGCAAATGTCAGCCAAACCTATTTGAGTCATCGTTGTTAACTGGCTTTTAGCCCTGACGATGTTGGGAGTTCCCAACGAAAGCTTGGTGGTTTTAGTAAAGTATTTTTATACTTAAATTCTCCTAGTGGTCGTATATATATATATATATACTCTATTTATTGATATTAAAAATGTGACAGAATATTATAATAATGCTGTCTGGTTTATTATATTTTGCTTAGTGATTTTTAAATTGCAAATTGAATCTGTATTACACAGTTAAATTATTCAGTTCTAACTTGTTACAAAAGCAACCACAATATTATCTTTGAGATTAGAAAGCTTATTTCCAGGCACTACCTGAGACAGGTGTCTCAGAATTTAGTCCTTGTCTTCTAGTTCTTCTGCCACCTGATCTAAAGTGTTTATAGCTTCTTACCTCCTGTACTCAACCAGTTTAATGGCTTCTTGACCTCTACAAATGCTAATCAGGCTGCAAATGCTATGAAATACTCAAATGTACTTATTGTGTCTTCCTCCGGCTGTAAAGCTTTTGTTTATTTCCTCTGCTAAATCATGTTGGCTGTTTATGGAATGTGACTGCTGCTGTTCTAGAATCCTTGAAGATGTAGATTAACGTTCCCCAATTAGCCACCAAAGCCAGCTGGTGGGATCAGCTGGGTATTGTGGTCAAAACCATCTGGACAGTGACAGGAGGGCCAGGGATTGAGGCGGGGAGAGTATAGTTAAAAATACTAGCTGGCTTCTCTCTGCATAATGTGATTTGGTTTTCAGAATCATTATTATTCAATTTCCTTGTCTCTGCCATTCTCCAGTCATACCAGCTCAACAAATTAGTAGCTGAAATATAAGAAGTATAATAAAAACCATCACTGTTGACTCTAAGCATATGTCTTAGAGGTTCTTCTCTGTGTTATCCAACATCTTTTTTTAGAATCTATTTTTGTAATGTGCTTAGGGGTGCTGCCAAATTGGCGGTAAGATTATTTACAGATGGAGAAAAAAATTCTACACTGACAAAATATGATTTAGGGATGTTGTTTTTTTTCCTTTGTGATTCCTAGGGTTAATCAAATGGGGCAGGAGTTCCCCAGATGTTTTGGATTACATATCCTGTGGGCCTCTGTTGACATGACCAAGGATGAAGGATTAATGAAGCTATAACCCAAAACATCAGGCGGGCATCAGGCTATTTGTTCCTAAAAGAATGACCCCAATTCCTATTTAGACAAAAATTCTCTCTTTCTTAAGTTTATATTTCTATTCAGTGACATTTATATCAACTTTTCCGGGCTGTGTTAACAATCTAGCTGTGCGATTAAGCCAAGTCTTTCACGTCATGTCAAAAGAAGCCATCTTCATCAATTCTTTTATCTCAGGATTTTGCATTCAGCTCCTAACTGATTCTCTCAGTAGGCATGGGCCAAAGATGTTCCCACACCAACTCCTGGAGTTCAACTCTCTCTCTCTCTTTCTATATATATATATATAAATAAATATATATAGCTGGCCATTGAGGAACAGGAGGGATATGATATGGCTGAAGTGGCAACATGAGCTGACAAGACTTAATGCTCTGGCTCGGCGTCCATGCAAGTCTCCCATGGGTTCTGTGGCATGCGAGGCAAGGAGATGAGCAAAAGCCCCACTCCACAAAGGAACAGCAAGACGAAAGAGGCACAGGCACAGGCGAAGGACCAGGAGTAGTAGTACTCTATCCAGTCTGTGTCATCGCTCGCGATCATCTTTTTCACCGATTGCCTCATAACTTCCACAGATATGATAATACACAGGCCTGGAGAGAGGGGAAAAGAAAGCAGTGAGCAGGGAACGGAAGTCAAGGCCACTGACTTGTTCCTCCTCAGTTTTATGCTGAACTGAATTCCAGGCCGATCACTAGATATTCCTAGACTTCTGGGTTAGACTGGCAAAGCTCTTTGCATCAACACCATCTTTCTTTCAGTCATGTTGCTCTCCTACCATCTCCCTTCTTCCCATCCTGCCTAAATGTGGCCCATGCAGTAAAGCTGATGTCCCTCTTTCTACCTTCCCACCTGCAAACATATAGAACATGGCAGCTGGCCTCAAGAGGTAATCCATCTTCTTCCGGAAGGATAAGAGGACACAAATGGTTCCGATGATGGAAAAGCCCACGCTAAAGATGGCAATGGCAGCTGCAGAAATGCTGTATTCTGAAAAGGCAAAAGAAAAAAAGGAAAGGAAAAGCACTGATGATGTTACCTAGTTTGGTAATGAAATGCCTCCAAGAAAACCATCAAGATCAGAGAGCACCAAGGATTCCATCACAAGGAAACAGTCATTGACAATTCTTCTAATTGCAATGGGGAAGCAACACATGAGCATGAACCTACTACCAGTTATCAAAGGGTTGTCCATAAAGGACAGTCTGAAAAGTCAAAATGGTGGTCACATCAGTCAAAGCTCTGCCTGGTTTTTATCTGTGCCACACCATTCCGGTTACCTTCTTGATACTGTGGACATCCTTGTGGACTTCTGCCATAAGAGCAATATTTTGTTCTGGGCAATCAGAAGGAGAAACATAAGCTAACTGTCCAATGCATGATGGGGGTCAAGGGAACAATTCAGCACTAAAAATGTAGATGGTGGGATAGTGAATATATGAATGCAATTGTAGTGTTCCTGGTTCAGTAGGTAACACACTTCCCTTCTTCCCTGTTTGATCCTCTAGAAAAAAAATCATAATCAGCTCCAGAACACACATTAATTTCTGCTCTGGGAAACTAATATGATATGGCAAGGATATATATTAAAAATACTTTTGGGAATCTTTTTTTTTAATGCTTTTGAGAAGTTTTGTACATTTTCTTCTGTCTTTCCTTTCGTGCATTCACAGGATTTTCTCTGAAGTGAATAATAGCAGATCATTATGATCAAATAGATTACTTCAACGAAGCGTGTTGCGTCTTCTCCAGGAGACTCCCAGGGCAAATCCTGCAGTTTTCTTATTTACTTTTTTTATTATTATTATTATTAATAGTATAAGATGCAAAAATTCAGAAGAAAATAATAGGAAAGATAGGGGAGGGAAAAGGGAAGGGAAAAATGTAGGAAAAAGGGGAAAAAGAAAGAAAAGGCATTGATGTCCGACTCCCTTTGGTGCAATAGAACAAGATAATGACATCAAACCTCAACTTTTTACTTTTAAGTAATAATATGAACTAGCCATTTCTACAACAACAAACCTATCTAATCGATAAAACCCGAAATCAAAGTTTCATTTTTTTCCCACCTCGAGCACAAAGTCCAAAAGTGGTTTCCAAGTACAAACAAAAGTAGTTGTGTTTTTGTCTTTAATCAAAGCAGTCAGTTTAGCTATCTCTGCTATCTTCAACAACTTTGCAGCTATTCATCCATTTTGGGAAAGTGTACTTTCATTTTTGTGCATAAAGTAATCTTGCTGTCATCAACATACATAGTATCAAAGTTCCAAAAGTCTTTTTCCATTAAACCCAAAATAAAATTTTCTGGTTTTATCTTTATATTCACTCTGAGAATCTTCTGTATTAAGATGTAAATCCTATTCCAACATTTCTTTGCTATGTCACTTGTCCACCATAAGTGATAAAAGGTCCCTTCTTTATTTTTGCATGTCCAACATTCATTTGAAATACCTTTATACATTCTGGACAACTTATCTGATGTTAAATACCAATGATACATCATCTTATAAAAATTGTCTTTTAAATTATAATTTAGTGTAAATGTTAAACCTTTTGTCCACATAGTCTCCCATTGTTCAACCATTACATTATATCCAAAATTCCTTGCACACTGAATCATGCAGTACTTTACTTATGCATTCTCCAAATTCAAATTCAATAACAGTTTACAGACCTCTGCAATAATACGTTAATCGTTACCGTACAGTAGGATTTCCCATTCACTTTTCACAAAATCAAACCCATAACTCTTTTTGTCTGATTTAAATCTTTCTCTCAACTATAAATATGTACCCCCGACTTTGGAGAAGATTTGCATGGTTAGAAAGTCGTCTTATACGTTGGAAAATATGGTATTTTCCGGCGTATAAGACGACTCAGCGTATAAGACGACTCCTGACTTTGGAGAAGATTTGCATGGTTTAGAAAGTCATCTTATACACCAGAAAATACGGTAAACCAATGGCAGACATGTCCTTCTGATTCTGACTCCTCCTTAGACTTAAGGATAGGTTCACCAAAATTAAAAGATATTATTTGACTATAAGTCCACCAGTCTTTTCTATCCCTGCAGTTTTCTTGGCAAGGGATTTTGGGAAGTGGTTTGCCCTTGCCTGTTTCCTGGGCAGAGAGAGAATGATTGGCCCAAAATTACCCAAACTGGCTTTGGGCCTAAGGTGGGATTAGACGTCCCAATCTCCTGGTTTCTAGGCTGGTGTCTTGATCACTGAACCAAACTGGCTCTCATTTCCATACAGTGAGTCCTTGACTTACAACAGTTCAAAGTTACAATGGCACTGAAAAGAGTTTTTGACACAACCTTTGTAGCATCCCCATGATAGTGTGATCAAAATTCAGATGCTTGGCAACTAACTCATAGTTATGACCATTGCTGTGTCCCGGGGTCATGTGATCCTTTTTGCAGCCTTTTGACTTTGACAAGCAAAATCAATGGGGATGGTAGTTTCACTTAACAGCTTACCAGCTGTGGTGATTCACTTAACAACTGTGACAAGACAGGTTGTAAAATGGGGGCAAAACTCAGCAAATGTCTCGCTTAACAACAGAAATGTTGGGCTCAGTCGTGGTTGCAAGTCGAGGAGTACCTGTAATAGCAAGCTTATAAAGGCTACCAGTCTACTAAATATACAAACTTGAAAATACATCTGAAGGAGACTCTTGAACTGCAACAAAATAATACAGTGAATAAGGATGAGGTTGCTAATGTCCTTACAGCATAAAACGAATAGCTTTAGCATACAAAATTAAATGGGATGATAGTTTGCTTTTTCCTCCTGTAGATGAATCGGATGTAAATAGTCCTCTCATCTCCTGTTTCATTTCTAGAATCATCCGCTACCGAAAGCAAGCTAAATTAGGGAGGAGAAAAAGCTCATAGAAATCCCACTGCTCCCGAATTTTTCTACCTCTTTATTAGAGATGTTTGTGGATCCAGCAGAAAGGTTTCAAAGACATTTAGAAAACACGCTACATTCTAGAATAAAGTGTGCTTGCAAAGCTCTTTGTATTCCCTGTTCTGTCCCAGCAGGGTTTCAGATCCAGATAAGGTTGGAACTGCCTCCTGCCCATCACATTAACCCACACTTTGCTCTTTAATCTCAGGCAGACACATGGGGATGCTGAGAGCAGGGCTTGGATACATCTTCTCAATTTCATCATTTCATGATTCAGCTCTCCATTGCAAAATAACTGTCAAGAGCGGGACATCAGAAGTCCAGGCAGCTCAAAATGAATATAAAAAGATTTATTGCAAGCTTTCTACAAGGATCTGAACTAGTAATGGTCAAAGGAAATTGGTGCTAGATAAGAGTCAATAGAATTCAAGTGGGCTGGAGGTCTCTTATGGGCATGAAGGGACTCATGACTGATGACGTGTTTAACCCCCCCCCTCGGGCTCAGTCTGATCATCTCCTACATCAGGGGTGTCAAACTCAATTTCATTGAGGGCCGCATCAACATTGCGGTTGCCCTTGGGTGACTCTACATCGTTTGCGTCAAGGGTGCCTGTGGGGGCCTGGGCAGGAGTGGGACAGATCTGAGGGTCTCTGGCAGAAGAGGGTGGGACCAGGGCAAGTGCCAAGGCATGGTCCACTGAAGGAACCTCATTGTTCCTCTCAGGCCATGCGGGGGGGGGGTGGATGGTGGTACAGGTTGCCCGGAGCCCTGGGCAGCAGAGGTCAAACACCCAGCCTGGCCCTCAAGCACCTGTAGCACCAAGCCCAGCCTCACTTCCCCAAGGGGGTACCCAGCTGCACTTATCTCCTCCTCAAGGCTGCTGCTGCTGTGCTTGCTCTCCTTAGCCAGGTTGCTCATGATGGGTATGTGGGCAAAGTCAGAGGGAGGCCCATTCCCTCTGCATGGGAGGAGATTCGGCTTTGTATCCAAAGCTTCCTTAGCAATAGGATGGGAGACCCCCCAGGATAGGCCAGGAGGAGGGGGCAAGAGGATGGTGAAAGGGCATCATCTTTCCTTCTTTCCTTGTTTCCTTCCTTCCTTCCTAAGTACAGAGTGGTGGGAAAATATTTGAGATGAGGGAGAGAGAAAAACAGGCAAGAAATGCAGGCAAGCAGCGGGGCACTCTCCTCACAGTGCCGAGAGGTTGAGCTGGGCGGTGCGAAGCTCATCAGCTTCGCACCTTGCTTCCTGCTGAAAGTGGGCAGGCTGGGGGCTAGGCAGCATTGCACTTCTCATCAGATTCGTGTCACCCAGCTCAGCCTCTCAGTGCTGTGAGGAGAGTGCCCCACTGCCTGCCAAAACCTCTCCCCCGGAGCCCATCAAGCCGGATATATGAAGTAGGCGAGGGCCATTTGCTGGACACGTCCAGGCGATGGTGCATTTCTTCATTCCTCACAAAGGGTGACACCTCCCCAGCATGCACCCAAGGGGTGGGGCCAATGCGGCAGGGGCTAGTTTCTCGCTGTTTCCAGACTTCCTTGTGGAGCATAGATGGCCACCACAAAATTGTACATTGGCTCCCAGCCAGCCTGGGCCTGAGCCAAGGCAGCGGGGTCCGTTCCCTCACTGTTTCCAAGATGGCTTCACGGGCCACATGAAACCACTTTGCGGGCCGCATCCAGGCCTTGTGTTTGACATGTCTGTGCTACATCAACACTTGCAAGGAGCTCATTGATTAATACAAGGGTCTCCACTCTTGGCAACTTTCAGACTTGCGGACTTTGACTCCCAGAATCCCCCAGTCAGCATAGGAATTCTGGGAGTTGATGTTCACAAGTCTGAAAGTTGCCAACTTTGGAGACCTCTGCATTAATAAATTCCAACTAGACTCTTGCCGTAGGAGCCATCTGTTAAATAATTCTTAAGACTAAAAACAAGGATGTACGACATACCTACCTTTTTTTTCACAGATATAGTAAGTTACTCTGTTTAAAAATATCACCCCAGAAACAATTAACCCAGAGGGATAGTTAAAGCACATTCACTGCATGATTGCAATAACGCTATTTCAACTTCGCAATGCTGTAATGAAGCATTGGGTCATCCAGTGGTACTGCTGAAAAAGTTCACTTATGAATATGAGTCTAGGAAAAGTTTTCCTAATGAGAGAAACCTAAAGGCTCTTCTCCCATGCTGAAAGTAGCCAAAGGCTGGCTGTCACTCATTTATTCTGAATAAAGAGGAAGAACCTTGGTGAATTCTTTAAGTGTGATCTTCTCTTAGAACAAATGGAAATGCTTGTCAGGTCTGGGAATTTCACCACCCAGAGAACTTGTCAAACAAGAAATTCTTATGTGAGTGTAACCCAAAGGTGCTTTTTCAAAAGCCAGCTAGACTGTGTTTTTCCTTTGAAGGCATTTTGCTTCCCACCCAAGAAGCTTCTTAGTTCTTCCCATCCAAGAAGCTTTTGGATGAGAAACAAAATGTCTTCCAGGGAAAACAAAATCCAGTTGCCTTTTGAAAATCCACCTTTGGAACAACCATGACCTGGATGACTGAGAATCTCCATTGACACATGTAGGTGTAAGTTTTCCCACTACTTCATCTGGTGTATTAGAACTGAAAAATTGAAATAAATCGGTGGAAAAAGTTGCCTCCAGAAGTTGAGGGTGCTTTCACTGGAGATTTTTAAGAAGAAGCTATTTGTCCAGAATGTCATAGGGACTCCTGATTGAGCAGAGGATTGGACTAGAAGACCTCCAAGGTCCCTTCCAATGTTGGTATTCTGTATTCTGTCCTGTATTCCATAAGAATTGTCAGTGTTGGTGCCAACACAAGTGGAGGATACTATGATGAGGACGACTACTCAATATATTCCTCCAAAGCTGATGGGTTCATCTTTCCATAAGTGGGTGATATGACTCTTCATCTCTTTCATCTGTACCCTTAGACATCCTTCCTCCATAGCCAGTTTAACTATCCCATCTTTGTCTGGAGCTGGATCCCAATCTGATGAACTGGATACATTTTGGCATAAGATGTATTACTATTGTAACGCAGAGTTTCAACCAATCAGAATAGAGCTGGAAGGGATCTTGGTGGTCTTCTAGTCCAACCCCCTGCTCAAGCAGGAGACCTTATACCATTTCAGAGAGATGGTCCAGTCTTTTCTTAAAAACCTCCAGTGATGGAGCATCCACAACTTTTGAAGGCAAGCTATTCCACAGGTTAGTTGTCCTCACTGTTTCTCCTTAATTCCAGGTTGCTTCTCTCCTTGATTAGTTTCTATCCTTCTGGTGCTTTGGAGAATAAGCTGACCCCCTCTTCTTTTGGCAGTCCCTCAAATACAGAAATACTGCTATTATATCACCCCTAGTCCTTCTTTTCTCTACACTAGCCATACCAAATTCCCGCAACCATTTTTCATGTGTTTTTGTTCCCAGGCCCTTAATCATCTTACCACCTTGCACGTTTTCCAAAGTCTCAACATCTTTTTTGTAATGTGGTGACCAGAACTGGATGCAGAGGTTGCCTGCTTATCAATTCTTCTTACCTCGTTGTGTCGATACTTCAAAGATTTCAGTGCTTTCTCCTGAGACAAAGTGTGTGAAATAGGAACAGTTGTACTCTGGAAGGAAAGAGGAGAGAGGAGGAAAACAAAAAAAATATATTAATACTTTTGTCCAAATCAATTCATTTTTGTTGAATCCTGAATCAGACAAGGAATACAGGAAATATGCAGGACAATCCCATTTATTTTTATTTAGAATTCAGTCCCATTGGGACTAATGATACACATGGCAGAAAATAATATAGAGTGGTGCAATTTTAAAGAGGTTTCATTGGTTTGCTTTTTTTTTTAAAAAAAGCTAACTTTTTATTAATGAAAATTATCAATTCCTTCAAACAAACACTACGACAGGCAACTTACTCTGCACATCCTTTCTCAAATGTCCAATATGTCAATGAGGTGGGTGGGATCTGAGGCCTTACACATTCCACCTATACATTCAGACCTAGAGCAATGAGATCCTCCATTTCTTTAAATGTATCAATTTTTTTAAAAAATGGAACCTTTATTTTTGGCATAGATTTCTCATTTCTTCTATCTTTCAGCCATGTCTACAAGATCGCAGCATGGCTAATACTAACCTGTGCATTTAAGGCAATTACAGGTAGTCATTGACTTATAACCATTCATTTAGTGACTGTTCAAAGTTAGGATACTGAAAAAAATGACTTATGATTTTTCACAATGACAGTTGCAACATCTCCCACACGTGATCAAAGTTTGACACTTGGCAACTGGCATGTATTTATGACAGTTGCAGTGTCCTGGGGTCATGTGATCACTTTTCGCGAACTTCTGACAAGCAAAGTCAATGGGGAAGCCAGATTCACTTAAGAACTGTGTTACTAAGTTACCCGAGTGTTTCACTTAACAACTGTGGCAAGAAAATGGGGCCAAACTCACTTAGCAACTGTCTTGCTTAGCAACATAAATTTTATGCTCATCTTTGGGTTCATCTTCTAATAATGTCTATATGGAAGAAATATGACAAACACTGACACCAGGGGTCAAAGCAAGGATATCAAAATATCAAAACATTTCACCTTCCCAGGACACCTTGACCTCAAACCTCAAAATGAACATTTTGGAAAAGTGGGGTTTTTAAGAATGTCACTAAGTGAGACATTGTTGACCTCCCTCAACAATGCCAAAGCTTCAGGCAATCTCAGAAAATCTCAACAAGCACAATGGGTTTTAACAGATTACATGTATTAATCGATTAAGTCCTTGTAATCACATTATACCTGAATCTGCATAAGCAACCTATCCCCCCCTCCCCTCCCCTCCCCACTTCAATCCAATTTAAAGCCTATATCAGTCTAGCCGCCCTCGGCGTCTGATGCAGTGAGTTGCAACTCACGTCTTTTAATTAAATGTGTTTTCGCCAGATATGGTGTTACCAGACTTCTGATTTTTTTTCTTGCCAGTGTGTTAAAACTACAAGAAAGTAGTTTACAACTGGAGGTCAAGAGGAGATTTTTGACTGTATACATTGCCAGCCAATGGAACAGAATAGAATAGAGCTTGGAGGGACCTTGAAGGTCTTCTAGCCAGCCCCCTGCTCAAGCAGGAGAACCTATACCATCTCAGACAAGTGACTGTCTAGCCTCTTCTTAAAAATCTCCAGTGATGGAGCACCCATGATTTCTGGAGGCAAGCAGTTCCACTGGTTAATTGTCCTCACTGTTAAGAAGTTTCTTCTTAATTCCAGGTTGCTTCTCTCTTTGGTCAGTTTCCAACCATGTTTCTTGTCCTTCCCTCTGGTGCTTTGGAGAATAATGCGACCCCCCCCCTCTTCTTTGTGGCAGCCCCTCAAATACTGGAATATTGGAATGATATCCAGAAGGTTGTTGCTCATCTATTACAAATGTTCTGATGGAAGTTGGAAGAGATGACCTGCAACCTTGTGAACTGCTGCGTCTGAGCATAGAGTGAACCTGGACTCCACAGTGCCATTCTGACACCTTCCCACGACATCACCCCGGCCAACACATTGCCCTCAGGCTTTCATTTGGGCTAATTTCACTGGTTTACTTGAACTACTTTTATTGTGTAACACATGAGCAGTTTTGTGTGATTGTTGATGAGCTTTTCTAGGATATTTCCTTGGAGTGACTTAGCAAGGAATTTGACTCATGTCTTCCTCTTGCTGATGTCATCTCCATCTCCTTCCCTTGCCTGTTCCAGGATTTTTCTTTCCTGTTGAGACAGGTGTGTCATCTTGTTAAATAATGGTCAATTCTCCTAGCACTATTGCTCTCTACCTAATGCCTATAACAAGTCTGTGATCTTGTTAAATAATGCATTTTTCTTTTGGCCACACAAGATTTGATGACTTCACCTTGATGCCCTCAGCTTAACACCCAGTCTTTGCAGGATATTTAGCAGCAATGCTGAGGGTCACAAATGCACCATAAGGTACTAAAAAGAAGATGTGCTGATTTAGGAAGTGGAAGGTAAAGAAAAAAACAGGTATAAAATCTGATTTTCAATTCTATTAATTGAAACTTCCTTTAAAATGCTATTTATATTTCTAATGTTCCCCCAGTTCTTTTTACATGTTACATGTACATTACTTAGATTAATATATGCTTTGGGCAGGAATTGGTCAGCTGGCTTCCTGTTCATCCAGCATACTAAATCATGGTTTGAGTATTTACAGATTACTGAATAAACTGTAATTAGCGGAGACCCACTTTTTCATCCTGAGAGATGTATTTCCTCCCTTTCCCCTGCTTGAGGGCTAGGGAAGATGCAGTTAATAGTATAGCATAATGAATTAGGACATGAACGCCTATGGAGATTCTCAAATATCCAGGTCATGTTTGTCCCAAAGATGCTTTTTCCAAAAGGCAAATGGACTTGCTTGGTTTTTTTCTTCGAAAATGTTTCGCTTTTCATGCAAGAACCATGAACTGAAGAAGTTTCTTGGATGAGAAGCAAAACGTTTTCAAAGAAAAAAAAAATGAAGAAAGTTCACTTGCCTTTTGGAAAAAGCACCTCTGGGAGAATTATGAAATGGTCAACAAATTTTTTCAGAGTCGTGTTTCTCCTTAGTACTTTCAAAGTAGTTAAAGGGTAAAATTGTGGCTTTATGATTTGCAGAAATTTAAGGTAACCAGTTTGCTCTTAAAGCCATCCAAGGGAGTTGGACATGAATAAGGAGTTATTAAGGAATGCCCTGCAAAATTTTAAGCTTCTGTTTTTGCCTTTCAACTTCCTCCCCAGAATAAAGTAGAAAAAATACGCCCAACATATTTTTGTTTTGTTTTCTGTTTTTAATTCTGTTGATTTTGATCCTGTTGATTTAGAATAAACATAAAGCTAGTCCTCATGGTTTTGCTTCTTCTCTAGTCCTACCTCAAAAGGCTAATATCTACTCCTGCAAGTCTGAAAGTATCTCTCACATCTCTTACTTTTACTCTTCCCAAATCTAGGAAGGGTTCCTTCTGAGATGGCTTCTCTGCCCCATTTCTTTGGGCTCAGATTTCATTTGTCAGATGGTTGTCTAGGCTGCAGCTGTTCCTTCTGTCTCCCAAGGCCATTCCATATACCATTAGAGGAAGTCCTCATTTGGCAACTGCCTTGTACAGTGACTGCAGCTGCAATGGTGATGAAAAAAAATATCTCGCATTTATGACCTTTGCAGGTCTGTAAAACAAAGGAAAGCTGTAGTAATATCCTAAGCACAGTTGTGGTTTTGTTTAGCAACAACTTCGCTTAGCAGCTGAGTTAATGATCCCAATTGTGGTCACTAAACGAGGTCTATCTTTACGAGCTTATGATGGAGGCAGTAGCAGCAGCTTTCCTGTCCAATAAGTTCAGGCAAAACTGTTGACAGAAAATAGAGGCCCATCGTGGATTGCATATAAAAAAAGCCACTCCTTAGTTTTACTCAGAGTGAAAGCTACAATGATCAGTCAAGCAGTTTCACAAACTTGCATGACCTTCCCACCTCACAGGCAGATGGAGGGAAATTGACAACGTTCAGCTTTAGGGGCTCAGTCGGTCAAGAGAAGTGCCCACTGGTGGGGCAGATGGAGGGGGTTAAGGTTCATCCTTGTTACTGTGCCTGTGCTTTCCTAAAAAGCTTCGTGACCATGAAGTCCTCATTTCTGACTTCCATTGTAAGAGAGCTCATGGATTCTGCACTGGGCAGCAAAAGATTTAGTTCTTCAAAGCCCCATTCCCTGCAAGTCCCCATAGCCTGTTCAGAGCAGAAGTCAGAGGACTTGGCTTCTACCCACAGACGACCCTGTGGTTGTCAGCTATTAGCCAACATGGATTTTTATAGAACTAGTTGTGATGACAACTTCATTAAATCAGGAGGACCAGCAGAAGAGGTAACACTGTCGCCCCAGAAGACCATATTAATGGCCCTGCTCTGTCCACCCTTATTTTGGTATGAGGATGCAAAAACAGGGAGAAAAGGCAAATTAAACTATTCCTATTGCTCAGCCTAAGCATTTGGCAGTGGGGAAAACATTAAAACATGATCTACTTGACTGCAGTTAGGAAAACAGCTTCCTGTTTAATATCAGAACGATTGGAACTGGGCGATCTCATTTAAGAGACCTCATCACTTTCCATCCACTCGCCGGAAAATGTGTGACTGAGCCGAAATCAAAGGAGATTTGTGTCTGTTGTTCTACTGCTCCCTGAAGCTCTTCTTTATGAACTTACATTGCAAAACAAAGGAGAGTGCATTTGTACTGATATCATCTGTGGAAATTGTGTTCTTCGGTGTTGTTTTTCTCAATATGCAGTAGTGATGATCGTTTTATTTGACTGTGGGCCAAAAGAAATAAAGTGCAGAAATAAATTAAAAGCAGACAATGATCGCCAATCATTGCAATCTATCAGGTGTGTGTATGTGTGTGGGGGGAGTTAAGCACTTAGAGTCTGTGCTTGTGACTGCACAGCCTGCAGGAATATTTGGGTGACTCTCTTAATGGGAGGTGGGTTGGGGGAATGAGCTGGCTTTGCTGAGGAAGAGAGATAACTTTTCATAAAATATCTCCTCTGGCTAAAGACAAGAAGCGGTAGAGGGGCAGGTT